CAGGACGCCGGGGAGATGGGAGCAAATCGACAGGCTCCCAGGGGCAGACCCCTCTCCCCGCTGCCGTCGCCGCCGCCGCCCCCGCACCCCGACAGCACCACTTCGCCTCCCAGAAGCAGGCTGGCCGCGAGTCGTGCACCCCGCGAACATAGGGGAGCAGAGGCCACCCCAGTCCAGGCCGCGGGGGAATAGGGAACAAACCCAGGGGCTCACACAGGGAAGCAATCATCCCACCGCGGCGGCCCCGTGAGCGCACCGCACCCACCTGCCGGGAGCAGGCCATGACCCGAGGGCTGGTCAGAGGTGCTCCGGGGCCGTCCAGCATCCTCCCACCTCCCGGGGCTGCACCCGCTTTTCCAAACGTGGGTATAAGCGGCAACGAAGACGCGGGGTTCAAGGACTACTAATGTGGGGGCTGGGGGGGTGGGGCACCACGAGCCAGGGCGGCGGCCCGAACCCGCCTCAGGGTCCTAAGGGGCCGCGCGGCAAGGGCCTCACCTCTGCAGCCCTCCCTGTGCGCCTCCCCAAGGGTACAGCCCACGCCTCACCCGCCGGCTCCCCGACCTGCGCGCCCGCAGGAGCGCCCCCTTACCTGCCCGGCAACGGCACTCGGCGGCCCAGACCCCAGACCGCGTTCCTCCTCCAGGAGCTGGTCCAGGAGCACTCAGCTTCGGAGGCGCGAACGTCCAACACACTCTGGGCAATTCCCGCGTCTGCGCATCTGTGCGTCCTCGCGCAAGCGCACCCCTCCCCCCGCCAGCAGCGCGGATGCTTGGCCTTGGCTCCTGCTGCAAAGGGAAGTGGGGACTATAGTAAATGCATTACATTTTATTTTTGTTATATGAAATGGAGTGGAATAATTACAAGCAAAATAACATTTGTCACATAAATGAATGTGATCAAGGTACTCATTTGTATTAGAAAAACACTAAGATTTTTTTTCATATTTCAACATGATGTAGCATTTTACAAAACTTTGAAAAGAATTTTCTTAAAACGAGAATTGACTATCACATCACTTAAATACTGTTTTTCAACGTGAAATCGAAGGAATTTTTACAAAATGGCTTGTGAGACTGTATGAAAAGTTACTTTCGAACTTACATTCCAAGTAGCTTTAAAAAGAGTAAGGATGAAATATTTATACTTATTTGGTGAGCTGAATACATAGAATTTTTGTATGGCCAATTTCATTTAGACAATTTTTAGTATAATTTTAGGATTTTGATGTAGTTTTCAATGTATCACTTATGTACATGGGGTTTTGTTCTTCATTGGCTCTTTGGAGAAAAAAGTTAAAGTTTTATTCATTCATGGATTGATCCTAACTTGTTTGTTATGTTATTGTATCACAGATGTTTTCTAGACATAGTGATATAGCCTAAAATCTACATCACGTTATTTTTATAAAAATAATGTAAAGTGACAGACTGATTTCACACAATAGAAACAAACTTTAGCATCACAGTTTTAAAAAGTCTTTGTAAGTATACAGTAAAATCGTACTTTATTTCTTTATAGTCGAACAAAAGATCTCTGAATGAAGATTCAGAGATTTCTTGGTTTTTATCTAAATTTAAATTGCCCTCTACTGTCACAAACATGTACTGCTGACAAAGAGAAAATTTGACAAGTATGAAATCAAGATCTAGACAGCGATGGAAGAGAACCAGGAGCGGTAATGGCGCTCTGCCCTGGGGCAATTCAGTTTGTAATGTTCTAGCAGTAAATAGATGCACTCTCACTCCAAGTTAAACGTTACTTAAAATTATTTGTAAGTTTATAAACTGTTGCTTCATTGCTTCTTTTCTTTTTCCTTAGCTTTGGTGTTAAAACTGACATTTCACTTTGGTGTCATTTACATTTTACTATAATAATCTGAACGGTGCGTATTACGACTGTCAGGATAAAAGTTAAAACTACCCATATCCTGATATTTTTATTTCACTCTTGAGGAATATTGTTTAGATGGCTTTTCCCCCATCTTTTTCAATATCAGAACATTTTAATTTTAACTAGGAATTATATGTACTTAAAATGAAAAATATTCATCATTACTCTGAAAGAATAAAGCTAAGTAATCAGTTGATACAGTGTGGGGGAAAAAATCCAGACTTTTAAAAATATCATGCAAACAAGTGGTTGCCTATTTAAGTTCACTCTTAAAGAAGGTATTTAAACATTAAGAAGACAGTTGTAAGCGTGCTCTGTGTGTTTAAGTGTAAGCTTGGTACAATCTTTCAATTAAAGTCAGTGACCTCCCCCCACAATTTTTGCCATAAGAAATTCAGGCTAGTCAATAATGCTAAGTTGTATTTTGCAATGTCCTACAAAGTTGTGAAACTTGAGGTTAGTGACAGACATAAGTGAACAATTTTTGAAATGGTTACTGACATGTTTTATTAAAGCACTGGATGGTATATTTTAAAAAGATAACATTTTGATTGAAATTTTAACTTTTTGTAATAAAATCAATAATTCGAAGTGAAATTAAAGAGGCACTGATGTAACTAAGGGATAGGAAAGCTCACAAGTTGTCAAGTGTCCAGCACGTGTAACAGGTCTTGGCTAACTAGCTCCATGAAATACTTGGTCTATATTTCAAGCAAGAACAAACTAGAAATATAAATAATAAGTATAAAAATGAATAGAAATAAATAATTGGGGGAAGAGTTTACATAAAAATCAAGGTTTTTATAGCTCTTATGTCAGATACATGTAGAGACAGTTTTTGAGTTTAATAAGCCACTCAGGACTTCAGCTGTCACTGGCGGGTGGAGAAGCCCAGAGAGCTAGTTTCCAGGAGCGCGGCCCTCAGGCAGCCTCCCTGTTCCCAGTGCTTTTCTTCTCTCTGCCTCTTAAGCTCCTCTGGTTGATTTCTAACTTTTTCACATCCCAAATGTCCAAGTTGCCTTCTGTGAGGAAGAAGGTCATTCAGACAGCACTTAGTGTTGATGCTTTCCTGACATGAAGGGTTATAGCTGTCAGGGGGATATGAGCGCTTCCAAACAAGCAAATGGACACATGAATGAGAGAGAGAGGCCAAACTTACCCAAGGTTGGTGGTTCTCCAGCGGTGGTAGAATTCAGAGGTGATTTGGAGAAAGAGAAGCTTGTTGGATAAAATAACGTTACCTGCCATCAAAGTTAAAGGCTGGCTCTGTTCGAAGCAAATAGCACACCAGTCTTCTCAACTGTCTGACAAAGCCCGGGGATCTAGTTATTTCCTATTACATGGAACCTGGGAGCCACTCCTATTGTCCTTTTTGGGGCGCCTGATTGTCCAACTGTCTCCTAGTTTCTGTGGGCTGCCCAATATCCTTCTGATAAATTCTGTTTCTCTGTAAGCTAGCCAGTCATTTGCTTTTGTTGGCTGCCAAATAAATCTAATTGACACAACGCATGCCCTTCTCAGTGAGCAGCTCACAGACTCACCAGTGTTGTTTAAAAACAAGAGAGGGACAGCTCAATGAAAAATCTCAACAGTAAAAAAATAAATATTCCAATTAGAAAATTGGCAGAAGATTCAGAGAGACATTTCACAGAAGAGGATATACAAGTGGCAAATAAGCACATGAAAAGATGTTCAATATCATTAGCCATTTGGAAATCACAAATTGAAACCATGATGGGATATCGCCTATAGGAAGAATAAAATAAAAAGTAGTAGCAACACCAAATGCTGGCAACTATGCAGAGAAACTGCATGACTCCTACATTGCTGGTGCAAATGAATGTAAAATGGTTCAGCCACCCTGGAAAACAGTTTGGC